AAATCCATGCGGATCCTTTCCTGGGCTCCGAATAGCTCATGTGGATCCAAAGTTGCCATGCTGCTTGGTGGCCAAACCCTGGCGAGGCTGACCTACATTTGTCCCAATGAGCTCTTGCCTCAACCGCTGCCACAGAGCAGAGGGCGGTGTGGGGACCGGAAAGCCGATCGGGGCTTGATCAGCGCCCTTTTTTCCGCGGGGAACTTTGAAGACGCACAACTCACAGCTTCGGAACATGCATGAAAACACGGTGTTCCAATGCTCCAAACAATTCGCGGCTCTTGTCCAACAACTCGTGGCAAACATGTATAGTTATCAGCCACTGTTGATCCCCTACGCTTCCAAAAGTCCCAGCCAGTGCTCCCCTCGGAGGGTCTTTCTCGGTGTTTCCCCTGCAGCCTGAGTCCGGTCGCCCGCGCTGAGGACAGAGCTTGAGCGTCTCACAGGGATGCCCACCGCCGGGAGCGCCCAGCGCTCGGGTTAGCGGCGGCCAGCGGCGGCTCAGGCGGTGATCAGTTCACAGCATTTGCCACGAAGGACAAGTCCACCAGGTAGGTCAAACGAAAATATCATCTAACCCCAGCTTAAATGGAGCAGGATGTCCTTCTGACAGTCGGTGTGGAGCCAGTTGATGCGGCAAACGACCGGTCTTTGTCTTTGTTGGAGGCTACCATAGAGACCAACTCCAGTTTTCAGTCAATGGTGTGTGTGGCTCCTACAATCCGGATGAGTGATGAGCTAGCTGGTGCGCCGCCTACTGTAGGAGGCGACGGTTGGTCATGCATCCATATTCCATCATATATTCCTCATAAAACAGGAGTTCGGCAACCCCCTTGCTCGTAGGGGGACATGGGGGCACTACTATGTTGCTTTTCCATGGCCTTCTGGGCGCAGTCTTGGCACACATTGAGCTCTGGCTGGGAGAAGAACTCTTCAGGCAGCACAGTGGAGAGAGAATCAGAGAGAACAATCGCTTCGTGAGCCGCATGGAATTGGATTGCACATGTGATCGTGTGATATCACATGATGTCATGTGTACTTTGTGCTTCGCTCATGACAAAGCACTAGAGAAGCCACTCCCCGGAGCACTATATTTACTGTACATTGATATGTGACGTGTCCCCCCAAAAGTGCTTGTTCCCAATGACTTCTGGATGAACGACCGGACACCACGTCAGTGACCAGATAGAATGCTAATAGAGTGTTTAGTTAATGATCGAATGCGTGGGTCGATCTGTGAACCAGCGCCGTTTCCAGCGCCGCGTCGCGGATCAGCCTCCGGGAGTTCCACCGGTTCCTCCGTCCGGATCGTTCGAGGATTCCGAAGCGAACGTGGCCCGGGCCCTCGGTCCGCAGAAATGCACACACCGAAGGAAGGAAGGAAATCAGGCGCAGAAGATCTGTTGGGTGGAATGCATTATTATGATTTATTATATATATATAACATTGTTACTTATTACAGTCTTCTTTGGGGGGAAGATGACAAAATATGTTATTGGAACCTGTGACGTGTATCAATGCGTTCACTTCAGATTTTGTATCAATGTAGCAAGTGGATTCTCCAGAGAAAAAGTGGTCTGATTGGAGACTTGAGGTTGGTTGTGGTCTTTGGGTTCTGATGGGTATGGAGACACTCCCCACCTTTGCGTCCGCATGGGACCGGACCGTCCATCCAAAGGATCAAGGATTCCCTCTCCACGGATCATTGTTGGGAGGTGCCGAATGCCTGATTCGTACGAGAGGCATCTCATGGTTGATATATATGTTGATACGTTCAGTTGCTGGTTGCCTGTTGGTTCTTCCACCTTCATTCTTTTTGTTGGAGTTCTTTCCACAAGACCTGGATGTTGCGCAAGGACGCTTGACCTGCGACGGCATGTGAGCCTGGAAACGATCACGAGGGCCGGCACTTTACTTGGGAAAGTGACCATTTGATAGCAGATTTTCATGCAAAGACTCCAAACAACTGATCCAACCGAATCTAACCCACCAAGATCCACCAAGTCTTTTGCATGTTGATTTTTTGCGTGTCATTGCCAATTGCATTGAGCCGGGCCACAAAACCACACGTTTCATCTCGGCGGCGCGTGTGCCTTTTTCAGCTCACACTTTTTGCGCCGCCCAGGTGGCAGCAGCCAGGAGCGGTTGGTGTCGTGGCTGTCGTGGGGTCATGGTGTCATGTGGTGTTTGTGTTTTGCGGATTGGTGGTGCACCCCCTTGGGGATTTGTGTGGTGTGTAGAGGTGATTTCCCGGGAAACCCTCGGCGAAAGCACCGACTAAGCCCCACATGGGACCTCAACAATACATGGATGGATTGGATGGGTTGCAGTTCGCCAAGGTAGCAAGAGGATGCGACCGGTTCACCCGGGGTGCATAGTAACGAGGATGGATCACTCGCGGCCAGTTCACCCAGCGAGTTTCGCCGGCCAGTTGGAGACCAGCTTCGAGTTTTGGCAGTGGGTGAGTGTTGGACTCACAGCCTTTTCGAGGATCTTTGTCAATTATTGAGCCCTTAGATCCACTTTCACATTGAAAAGACGTGAGGGGACCTTCTTTGTGGAGGGATACCTATCAAAAAGAAAATTAATTCCTATCAAAAAGAAAATTGATTCCTATCAAACATTAAAAAAAACATTAATTCGTATCAACAATAAAATTTCCCCTACTCCTTTGGTCCTGGTTTGCTGGTTCCTTGGTCGCTTGGTCCTTGGGTCCCTTTGTCCTGGTCCCTTGGTCCCCTGGTCCCTTGGTCCCCTGGTCCCTTGGTCCCCTGGTCCCTTGGTCCCTTTTGGTCCCTTGGTCCTCTGGTCCCTTGGTCCTCTGGTCTTCGGGTCCTTGGGCCTGTACTTTCGAAGCAAGACGCGTTCAAGGTGATTTGGAAATCTGGTCATACATCCTGTGAAGCACCGTAGCAGACCTTTTATCGCCAGACGTAGCAGACCTTTTTTGTGAGCCACCCTGGCGGTAAAGTTTAGACGAAGAAAGTGCCATTCCAAGGTAGCAAACCTTTTGTGAGCCACCTGAGGGCAAAATTTAGAAGAGGAAGGAACCATTCCAACGTTGCAGACCTTTTGTTAGCCTTGCGAGGTTAAAACTTAGAGGAAGAAGTTGCCATTCCAACGTAGCAGGCCTTTGTTTTGTGAGCAACCCGAGGGTAGAACTTGCTATTCCAACATAGCAGACCTTTTGTGAGCCATCCACAGGTCTTGTGGCTTTGTGCGCCATCGTGAAATTCAGAGAAATCACAGTTGAGATGCAGAGAGGTCTACATCTACAAAGATCATCAAAGATCCAGAAACCTGGAGATCCAGACGGATCTGCAGGTGTAGAGGTCTAGAAACCTACAGACCTGAAGATGGAGGTTTAGAGGTCTTGAGTCTTGAGATCCAGGGAGGTGTTGAAATCTAAGTTCTAGGGGTCTAGACTTGCAGAGGGTGTAGAAAGATGTTCAGATCCAGAGATATCAAGAGCTCTTTTCACAGGTCTTGAGATCCACAGAATTTTGCAAACGCCGCGCAAACTGCACTTCAAGGTTCGCAATCGCTGCGCTTGCCACGAAGTCTGCGCTTATAGACAGAGGTTCACGCAATCCGCACTTCGAGGTTCACGAAGTGCTGCACCTGCCATGAAATCTTCAGTTCCAATGCACAAAGTGCAGCGCCTGCCACGAGCCCTGCAACTGAAGGTGCTCAAAGTGCTGAGTACAAAGTGCCATTCCTGCCACGAAACCGGCTACTGGAGGTGCTCATGCTGTGCTTGCCACGAAATCTGCACTTCCAATGCACAAAGTGCCGCTCCTGCCACGAAACCGGCTACTGGAGGTGCTCAAAGTGCTTCGCCTGCCACGAAATCTGCACTTCGAGGTTCACAAAGTGCTGCGCCTGCCACGAAATCTGCACTTCGAGGTTCACAAAGTGCTGCGCCTGCCACGAAATCTGCACTTCAAGGTTCACAAAGCGCAGCGCTGCCAAGGCTCTTTGTGAGAGATTTTTTTTGTTTTTGATACAAATTCATTTTCTTTTTGATAGCCCGGCCCTTTGTGAACCGGACTTTTGCTGCTTGGTCGGTGGGTGATCGAGAACGCAAGTTGGACACCTGGCCAATGGGGAATAGTAGGAAGGGGGGCTCCAAGCCGGCCAGCCGACATGTTTTATACAGTAGAAACAGTGGATATGTCTGTAATATATTTATATATATACCTGAGCTAATGGTTGATTCGGTAGATGTTGGTTTACCTGTGAGCATACTTTGGGTTTGTCCTATCACCTGTAACAGTCAGTGAACAATTGTAGCACTATTTTTGAACAAGGCCTTTACTAACCATCATTATCTATCGTTACTGGTAATTTGGATAGTCACTTGCCCAATTGACTTAAACTCGATCTCGTTTTTCGCACTCCCCCCAGCCTTGGGCTTGCTTGGCCGGTCGCACGAGAAAGGAGCCTTCAAAAGAAGGGCGTGAAGAATGTCCTTTGCACCTTGGGCCCTGAGCTTAGAAACATCTACCCATGGCTTTAGAATCAATTTGACCTGCAAGAAGTCGCAAAGGTAGAGGTTTTTGGTCCAGATTTGTCCGACGTTGTTCTTAAGTTTGTTTGCTGCTTGCTGCTACAACCTTCTGTTCTGGATGTTTCAGAAGGATTTCTAAGTTTGCTGTGCATTTTTTTCGGCTCACCACTTTTTTTGGAGTGGGTCGACCAGGCATTGTTCACATCTAGATTTCACTGATTGATTGTATGTTTGCAACTTTGACGACCTTTGCCTGGAGTATATTTTCGGAACCCTTTTCTGGACCTGGATTCCCTGGGTTCACCCAGACTGAAGAGGAAGAGACCTAAAATGATTAAATTAGCTTGTTTGCTCATTTGCTCCAAGCTCCCGTTGTGCACCGTTCAACTCAGAAGCCATTCCTGTCTCAAGAGCAGGGAGGGAACATCGACAAAATAGTTCTTCCCTTTGGCGACGGGTTCATTGGCTCGTTGCAGCCAAGCTTACAGCCATGCCGCAGGATTCTCTGGACCGGGATCCAGACCATGCACAAGATATCAAACTCTTATCGGTTGAAAAGATGCTGTTTCCATATGACAACAATTCCGGTGACCATAGCAGACTTGCATCAAAGCTTGGCAGACTTGCAGAAAAAAACATAAAAACATGGAACTCCACATCTCTTGGGCACCGAAAAACGCTTGAGATAGTTGCTTGCCATCCGTCCAGGACAACCAGATGGCCAACAAGCAGGGCAAGGGAATCGAGGAACGGTGGAGACGGCCGAGCCAGTGGGCCGGTGCTTGTCATTGGCTCAACTGGGCGGGAAAGTTTTTTTTTGATTCGTATTCTTTTGCAAGCATGTTTATATTATGTTTATATATAAATACCAGCTAAACCAAAAGTGCTAGAATTCTTACACCATCTTCCAAAATGTGCATTTTTTGAAAACTACATACTCCAAAAAATCCATTATTGCTTCGTTAAATAAATGTTACATTTTTACAAAATACATGCTCAACTCGAATTTCTCCGGGTTGATTATCTAGTATTCATCATCAGCAAGCATGGCTGCCCCGTCAACCAGTTCCGAACAACTCCAGGCACGGCTCGGTAGAGTCTCCATATGGGCCCAATGTCTATACCATGTAATAAATCATTGAAATGCCCAATACATGCTCAATTAACACCATCATATGCTCCTGATATCCGCTCAGAATCCGGTTTTTTCCGCTCAGAGTCCGGGTTTTTTCCGCGTCTAGTCGGGGTCCCTATTTTCTCCGGGTCTCAAAAGTTATTGCCCCGGGTCAATACATGCTCAAGAAAAATACATACTCAATCTATTTTCTAATTATTGCAAATGATATCAAGTGATCAATTATATGCACAATGGGAAGGTCTTCTTCCACCGAGGCGGCACCATAAGGGATATCGCGTTCACCATTGTTGCCATTACATGTATTACATGCCATTACTCAATACATGTTGTCAGTTTTCGGCACGAAAACCCATTTCGTTCGAGAGTTCGAGAGGAACATGTTTTTCACTTGTGTGCATTTGCTCTCAAGAAGGGCGGGTGCGCGCGTTGAACCTTGGGCCACCTTGCGCTGCGCCATAGAGTGAGAAAGTCCGCACTCGTGCTGTGCGTGTTCGATCGCTGAACTTCGTGTGTTGGCAGATCATTTGTTGTTGGTGGCGCGGAGCCTTTGTTGTACATTGTGCATTGAAGTTGGCACTTGCACCCTGTACATTGGTTGTTGAGTGTTGCATTCATTGGTCGTTCCTTTTGCTTGCAAAGCATTGGTTGGTCGACATTGGCTGTGACATTTGACATTGGTCGTACATTGTGCATTGTACGTTGATGTTGGGAGCTGGTACGACAGCGCAGGCAAGTGGTTCCTCGACCTCGTACGTTGGCAAAGCTCACGAGAACGTTCCTGAGTTTTCTGGCAGGTCGAGCGACTACAAGGAATACAGGAAGAGATTGCTCCTGTATGAGAAGAAGATGAGTTTGGCTGGCAGGTCCTCAGAGACCAGTTTCAATGTTCTGGTGACGCTGAAAGGTCGCGCTTGGGATGCATGTGAGGACATCCCAATGACCGAACTTGAAGGATCCACCGCAATGCAGAAGATCCTTGAGAGGTTGGACAAAGTCTTCAAGTTCGATGCGATCACGGAGCTTCCTGGAGATTTCGAAGCATTTTTCTGCACGTTGCATAGGAAGAAGAACTCAACGCTGCAAGAATATGCTGGTGACTTTGAACGAGCATTGAGGAAGTTGGAGGCTCACAACGTGACGTTGCCGGATAAGGTAGTTGGCTGGTATTTCATGAGGAGGGCTGGACTGACCCAACAGCAGAGACAGTTGATCATGAGTGCATTGTGCTCAGAAACATTGTCTTTGGATACTGTTCGTAAGGCTATGAACTTTGTCATTGGGCAGGACAGCACCCCAGAAGGCCATTCGACATACTCCACCAAGGCTTCCACTCGTTGGCGTGCACCATACAAAGAAGCTGTTTACTACGGAGAAGATGATGATTGCTTCGACTATGAATATGGTGAAGAAGCTGACGACGACCCCGAAGTTTTCTGGGCCGATGATGGTGGAGATGAAGCCGAAGATGAAGAAGGTGATGACGAGATTCATGCAGTGAGTGAAGATTGCGCTGCAGAGTACGATGAAGTCCTAGCTGGATATACAGAAGCTCGTCAACGACTGAATCAGATGAGGATGAGCAGAGGTTACTACCCGGTCGTTGCCATGGTTCCTGAGCAAGCTTCATCCGGTGGAAAGGGCAATTTCTCATCGCCAAAAGGCAAAAGCAAGGGCAAAGGCAAGGGCAAGAGTCATGCTGGAAAAGGAGGTAAACAGAATCCACGTCCTCCACCTCAGCCTAAAGCCCGTGGCCGTGCAGCTCTTGGTGCAGAACGTTGCTTGCGTTGTGGTCAGGCTGGACATCGAGCAAAAGCGTGCCCCGCAGCTGGCAAAAGGAAGGCTGAAGTTGATGCCGATATCAACATGGTTGCTTCATGTGAGTCCGGTGAGCCAGAGTCAATTCAGTTGGCTGTTGAAGAGCATGGCATCGTGTCCGACGACATCGCCATGATGGACTGTGGAGCAGGGTCAGTCTTGACCTCAGAGGGCCGTCTACGCAGGTACCTCGAGATGTTGGCATCAGCCGGCTTTGATTTGAGCCAGATCCAAGTTTTTCGATGCAAGAAAGGCTTCAGGTTCGGCAATGGAGAGAAGAATATCACTTCTGTTTGCTTGCTTGTGCCCACCTTCATGGAAGGTCTCCGTCATGACATTTTGATGTATGTCATTCCAGGTGATGCTCCCTTCTTGTTTGGCCGTCCAATCATGGAAGCGCTTGACATCACCATCTCCTACTCGACGGGCAAGATCAAGTGGGGCCGCAAGGCATGGAAGAAGTGTGCTCGTGGCACTCGAGGTGAATTCATTTGCCACATGGCCTCGAATGTGTCAAAGATGCTGGACAAGAAGCCGACACGCATCCTGCTACCAGATGACTTTGAGCAGCATGTTCACCCAGAACCACTGTCCACAGAGATTTTCTTTGATGGCCAGGTACAGCCGATGTTGAACGTCAGTGAAGATTTGGTGAACAGCGTCATTGATGAGCAGGAGAATTCAAGTTTCACATCAGTTGCCTCCATTTTGGAAGCCCAGCAGAGCAATTCAGCTTGTGAAAAGAGTGGACCATCTCCTGTCGATGCAGGGGCACAGCTGATGCCATCCCTTCAGAGTGCAGAGGTCACGTTGGACCTTGAGTCAGACAGTGACGTTGTGGTGACGAGAGAATTGAGTTGCGATCCAGGACCAAAAGAAGTTGAACATGAAGCTGTTCGCTCTCCATCCACTCCGGAAGACCGTGAAACCTTCCAGAAGCTGCCATCCGGAAAGCTTCGACAGCTCATCCATGACACTGAGCGAAGGATCAAGGAGTTCGAAGATGTGCTCCAGGCTTCTCCTTTGCGGAACTATGGCTGCAAGTACACCTTGTGGGAAGTGTTTGCTGGAGAGGGACGAGTGAGCAAGACAGCTGCAAGACGATCAAACATGCAGAGTGAGCGATTCTCCTTGGTTGATGGCTGGGATTTTGCACAGGCCTCACATCGACTGGCATTTCTTCGTCGTTTGAGGTCTGAAGAGCCGGACTGCGTGTTGATTTCACCCATGTGCAAGTTGTGGAGTTCACTTCAGGAGCTCACGTGTGCAGCTCATGAAGGTTATGCTGACACACTGGACATTGCACGACAGTGGGATCATGACAACATCCTCATGTTCTGCTCGGTTGTCTTTGAACATCAGAGGAGAAAAGGCAAGCTTGCTTTGTGTGAGCATCCCAAACGATCACGTGCTTGGCAGACACCTGCTTTTCAAGCCATGGATGGACATGATGCTCACGTGGACCAGTGCATGTTTGGTTTGAAGCTGCCCAATGACAGCAATCAGATGCTGCCAGTTCAGAAGCCGACGACATTTCGAACCACCCGTGCATCCCTGTCCGAGAGAATCAGCAGAAAGTGTGATGGAACCCATGCACACACACATCTGGAAGGCAGTATTCCTGGTGTTGGTTTGCGATCTTGGCTTGCAGAGAGCTATCCACAGGCTCTAGCTAGTCATCTTGTGAATGCCATCATTGCTGAGCTTGAGTTAGATGATGTTTTTGCCGTTGAAGACATTCCATCAGCTCAGCAAGAGATCGCGGACTACATGGCTGGTCGTCGTTCAGGAGTGCAACAGGTCGTTGGAGAAGGAGAGACAGCGCCGGCGGAGGAAACCAGAGGAGCAGTTGCACTTGAGTCTGAAGAGTTTGAGAGCTTGGATCCAGTGCGGAGAAACAGGATTTTGAGATCCCAAGTTGGACCACGTGCTGTTGAGTATGTGCAGCGCTTGCACAAGAATCTTGGCCATCCAGGTTGGGAAGTCCTTCACCGCATGTTGAAAGAGATTCAGGCAACAGACAATGTCCTTCAGGCTGCAAAGTTCTATACATGTCCTTTGTGCTATGCTCGCAAACCTCGCAAAGCCAATCCACCTGCAAGTGGGCTGAAATGCACAGAGTTCAATGAGCGGATCCTTGTTGATAGCCATTGGATTGCATGTGAAGAGAGCATGGTGAGAGAACGAGTTCCAGCACCAGGCACTCCAGCAGCCCGTCGCTGAGAGAAGGACAAGAAAGAGAAAAGGCCGACAGGCCGACAATGCGTGTTGACAATCATTGACCATGCCACCAGGTATTGTGCAGTTCGGATTCTCCAGTCTGAGCGTGCTGATGAGTTCACTAAGGGCCTCGAGCGTGCTTGGGTGAAGCATTTTGGAGTTCCAAAGATTCTGCGCATTGATGAAGCAAAAGGCTGGTCGAGTCAGCATGTTCGAGAATGGGCCACTCAACGTGGTGTGACATTGGAAGTGCAACCCGCTGAAAATCACAGCTGGCTTGGTGTTGTTGAGAGGAAGCATCAAGTTGTCCGACGAGCGTTGGAACTTTTCATGGATCAGTGCGACAGTCATGACCTCAAGTCGTTGAAGAAGGCCGCACTGTATGTTCCTCATTCAATCAACCAGCTCAGCTTCCATCGTGGGTTCACTCCTCAGCAGTGGGTTCTTGGCAAGTCAATGACCTATGTTCATGGCCTCAGTGGAGAGTTTTTCAATCCAGCACAGGAGGCAATCGATGAACAGGGCAACTTTGCACAGATCCAGGCCAGACGGACAGAAGCTGCTAAAGCTTTCATTGCAGCAGATTCAGATGCCAAGTTGCGCCGTGCCTTCACTCAGAAGTTTGCTGAAATGCAAGAAGAACTTGTGATTGGCCAGAAGGTTTGGTATTGGCGTAAGCATCAGAGAAGGCTGCAAAAGTCTGGATGGCGTGGTCCTGCAAGGATTGTTGCAATAGAAGAGCAGCCTAGTGTCAATGTTTATTGGCTTTGTCACGGCGCATCATTGTTGCGTTGTGGTGCAAGACAGGTCAGGCCGATGGTGGAGGACACTGGCATGCCGGTCAGCAGTGACCGCCAAGCAGCTCTTCGTGACTTGCAGGAGTTGAAAGCCCGTAGCACCACACAGTTCAAGGATGAACTTCGTCGTAGTGGTCATGCAGATGAAGCAGAAGAGCTTGACGGAGACGATGTTGAGCTTGATGCTGAGTATGAGCCGACAGAGCCACCCGATGATGGTGAAGTTCGTGATCCACAAACCGATGAGGAGTCGAGTGGTAATGCACGACATGATGAAGAGCCCAATGGCCCCGTTCCTGATAGGCGTCTTTCTTCCCAGGTTGCAGCCGGATGAGCGTGAACGAACACCTCGCCGTCGTGAGTCAGTGACGACTGCAGCACCTACGGATGTGGAGGAGGACCCAACTCACGCTCCAGCTCCATCGAGTCCAAAGAGAAAGTCAGAAGGCATTGCACCAGAAGAACCACCGGGCAAGGCAATTCGGGCTTCGAGTTCCGTGCCGGAGTTTCCAGGCGATCTTGGAGGAGGAAGTGTTCCGGTGCCAGATGATGATGACCTGGTGATAGAAGATGTTTTCTTGACACAGCTTCCTGACGATGCTCCTTCAGGTTGGCGAATTGTGAATGGAGAGCTTGAGTTAGATGATGTCATGATGGCAGCAATTCGCAAAGGAGAGGTCAATGAAAGGAAGCTGGATCCTCAAGATCGAGCAAAATTTGTTGATGGAAAACGAAAAGAGCTTGATCAATATTTTAGCAATTCGGTTTGGCAGTTTGCTACAACCCCTGAGATTGAGAGCGCCATCAAGACCAAGCGTGTGATTTCTGCCCGCTGGGTTCTGACATGGAAGAAGTTAGATGCAGAAGATGGCGTCACTCGTTGGAAGGCCAAAGCCAGGTTGGTGCTGCGTGGGTTCCAGGATCCTGACATCCTGAACATGAAGACTGCATCTCCGACAGCAGGCCGAACCAGTCGAACTATGTTGCTGACAATTGCTGTTTGGATGGAATGGTCAGTGTTTTGCGCTGATGTTCAAGCTGCTTTTCTGTCCGGCAAAGGTTTCGACAGAGTGCTCATTGTCAGGTTGCCAATGGATTGCTTGCCATTGGTCGATGGAGGACAACAGAAAGTGTACAAGAAACATTTGTACATGAAGATGAAGAAGAGCGCGTATGGCTTGTGCGACGCGCCGCTCTTGTGGTTCCAAGAAGCTGCATTGACAAAGCGTGGTTGGTTGAGCCACCATTTGGATCAGTGTTGCTTCGTTTTGCCATCGAGCAAGGACCAGAGCTTGACAGGCATGTTGATCTTACATGTTGATGACATGTTACTGGCCGGAAGCATGCAGAATGCTGAATTTTCACAGGCAGTTGAACTTCTTCGCAAGGATTTCAATTTTGGCAAATGGGATGAATTGTCAGAAGATCAATTATTGAAATACTGCGGAGGAACGATCCTGAAGAATCAGCATGGCATTGAGGTCAGCTACGAGGAGTACATCAAGAAGCTCTGTCCTATGACCATCCACAAAGGTCGCAAGGACGAAGATGGTGTAACACCGCAGGAAGTCAGTGCTGCTCGTGGCCTAATCGGAGCTCTGCAGTGGCCTGCAACTCAGGGCGTGCCGATCCTATGTGCTTCGATGAGCATTCAAGCTGGTGAAGTTCCAAAAGGAAAAGTGCTGCATCTTCGAGAGTTGAACAAGACATTGAGGTTTGCAAAATCCAATGCAGCAGTTACATTGAAGTTCCTTGGCCGTCCAGCTGGTGACAAGAAGCGTGGAGAGGCAAAGAGTCTTAATGACTTGGTGCCTTGTTTGCTATGCCGATGCTGCTTTCAGTGTGCGTTCAGATCATACCTCGCAGGGAGGATTCTTGATTCTGGCATGTGAAAAGGGTGTCCTGCAGGGTGAGAAGCGTCCCGCCTCGATTGTTTCTTGGAGGTCGTTCAAAGTCCCCAGAGTTTGCAGAAGTTCCTTAGCAGCTGAATGTCAGTCATGTGCCACGGCATTGGAGGAGCTCTTGATGGTGAAGACTTTTGTGGAATGTCTTCGTAGGCCAGGTGTCGAGCTCAAGTACATCAAGGACAACCTGTCAGGTGAGTCAGCAATGGTGACAGATTGCAAAGCACTCTTTGACGCTGTGCATTGTGAAACGATTCAGCAAGCAGCAGACAAACGTGTTGCAATAGAGGGCTTGGTGATCAAGAGCTTGCTGGCAGATTTGCATTGTCAATGGCGTTGGGTTTCAAGTGAACGCCAGTTGTCGGATGGCTTGACTAAGGTTGGAGCTCGACAGAACTTTGTTGAACGATACCGTGGCAGCCACATCCAGCTGGTCGCAGATGAAGGTTTCGTTGCAGCAAAGAAAAAGTCGAAAGAAGAGAGAGCGAGGACCGTGAACGAGACTCGCACCACAAGGTCTGACATAGCGCAGAGTTTGATTGCGTTGATCATGGCCGATGAGGTGACCAAAGCAGCGGCATCCACTCATGAAGACTGGAGTTTCGGCGGCTTTGAAGCTTTCATTGTGACAGGCATTGTTGGTGTGATTACATTGCTATGTTTCATTGGTCGATTTGTGTTTGCGTGTTGCACCAAGATGGGTGAACGTCAGTTGAAGACTGATGAAGAGATTGTGAGACTCAAGCGTGAATTGGAGGAGCTTGAGGACCAGTCGGAGCGTGAGCGTGAAAGCATCATCCAAGACCTGGAGAGAGAAGAGCAGAAGGTTAGAAGGTTACAAGAAGAAAACCTTCGTCTCCAGGGTGAGTTGATGGTGGCCAACGAGGCCGTGAGACGTGCACGATCCGGATCATCTTCCGGACCAGTTGTGATGACCGCTCCAGGACCGATCTATGTGACCCCATCTGGTGAATGCTGGCATCGAACCAGGACATGTGGCGGATCCCAGAGCATTTGCAAGAGGCCTTGCAACCGCTGCAACCCTGGATGAAGAAAGGCCGATGGAGTGCCTCACCGATGTCAGTTTTCGGCACGAAAACCCATTTCGTTCGAGAGTTCGAGAGGAACATGTTTTTCACTTGTGTGCATTTGCTCTCAAGAAGGGCGGGTGCGCGCGTTGAACCTTGGGCCACCTTGCGCTGCGCCATAGAGTGAGAAAGTCCGCACTCGTGCTGTGCGTGTTCGATCGCTGAACTTCGTGTGTTGGCAGATCATTTGTTGCATGTTTTTTTGCCTAATACATACTACTCAAGATAAACATTGTTATACCAAAATCAAAAATGTACATTTTAAAAAGACAAATGTACAATTTCTGGTTGATACGGTTAAGCTGGTAGGTTTCAGGTATATGTGGAATTCAGTGTACATGATGAAATTCACCCCTTCCAATGATGCCGCAGGATGAAGACGAACCTGCAACCCAAGCATTGGACGAAGACGACGTTGTGATTATGCGCACCTATGGCCCCTGAGCTGATTTTCAGTCGAATGGTTCGACCCCGAGTTTGAACTACACACCGCAGGGTGGCCGGCCGGGTCTTCCTTGGTTTCACATTCGCGGGAGGTGCTGGCAGGGTCACGTGAGACGTCAAGCATGTTTTTTTCTCAGCATGTTTTTTCTGGTGACATCCAGAAGGTGGAGCACTACATGATTGGCTTTTAGACACGCTGTGCCCATTTAATTTAATTTTGGTGTGTTTAATTTATGTGCTTTGCCTTTAGACACGTGCCTTCAGGGCACCACGAGCACCAGTGAAAACGCCCCAAAACGCACCGAGGTGTTGGCCCCTATGTGGAGCCCATCAAAGTCGCCGAGCCCTTTGGATGGAAAGGATGGTGAGGGAAGAGTTGTTGTGGGTGGTTGACTGCTGTGAGATGCATGTGTGGGACGCTTCCTGGGATTGGATTGGTTGAAACATGGAGCCTTTTGGAATTTGTTGGCCAATATCATCAGGTTTGTTCCTGGAGGTGTCTCGCTTTCGGACAGGGACAATCTCTGACGCCATGCTTTTAAAGACTGTTCCATGCTGGTTCTGGATGGCGGTGTGTGAAAGGGGACACCTTCAAAGCTTTGTTTGCGATGTGGATGGACCGGATGGAGGCTCAACGGCCATGCACCTCCATGATCCGTTTCCGCCGTGAAGGCGGGTTGCCACGGACAGTCGCTCAGGAAGGAGGCCAAAGAGTACATCAGTAAGATCAACAAGCTCATAGGTGTCAAGGAGCTGCGGGCGAGAGACCGTAGTTGGAGACCGCTGCAACAAGCTGGCTTGTCACACTTGGGATAATTAAGATATTTTAGCTATTAGTTCTCACATGTTTCTTTTCGATGCGGCTAGCACATCTCAAAACACTCAGCACAATGACCAAACCGCGGGCCCCTTCTGCTGACTGAGAGAACGAACCAGAACCTGCCCATGCCACCGTGCACCCCACGCGTGGACCTCCGGCCTCGTCGAGGAGTCGGATACCGGGCTGGCACCACCCAGCCAGTGGGACCTGGAGGGCGACAAGCAGATGATGAAGCAGGACTCGGCGGGAGCGGAGTGAAGGAGGGGCTGAAGCTTGTTGGATGAGGCGGACAGGAGGCGGATGAGAAGGGGCTGGATGAAGCTCGTCCTTCTCGTTGTTGATTGGTGCGTGTCCCGCGCGAGAAGTGAGATGAATCCAGCACGCGCTGGAGCGTGTGCCATTTGTGGTCACGCAAGGAGGATTGAAGGGCTTGGATTTGCGAAAGGTTCTAGGTGTAGGCCCACCTGGGTCCTGCAGGGGTCAAAACATGCCTTGAAACAAGCTGATCTAGGCCTCTAGGCCCTCAGAAGCGCATGAAGCTTTGTGCAAGCGATGGCCAAGATGGCCAGCCACATAAGAAGCGGTGCATCGCAGCCACCCTTTGAGCTTGTCATGTTATTCCTCCACTATTTGGATTACCATCATGCATGACCATCACCTGTGCCTTGAACGTTGCATGCATTCTGTGGCTTTGCCCATGTTTGTGGAATTGAACTGTTCCAGCCGCAAGCTTGATTCAGGCGCCATTGCAGTGATGCTAAAGGTCCCCTTAAAATCCCTTAAACATTTGCAACACAATTGGTCGTGAATCATCATCATCATCATCATCATCATCATCATCATCATCATCATCAT